TGTGACAATATTTCATAGACGTCCCACAAACACCTGTTTCGCGTCTCCCTCCGACCCCGAGGGGCCCCTTCAGTAGAGCTGGAAGTCATCGCTGGCCTCGAGGCCCCACATGATATGGATGAGCTTTTCTGCTGCCTCGTCGTCGCCTTCGCCCTCCTCCAGGATGGCGGACGTGTCGAAATAGTCCAGTTTTTTCATGAAGTCATGCTTCGTGCAGATGCTGAAGCGGGCCTCCTTGTCGCACTTGAGGAAGGCAAGCATTTTCTGCAATTTCATGGGCATTGGAGACGTGCCGGTGGGAAGGCATTGCTGTGGACAACGGAAGAACGAGGCAGTTAGTTTTAGAATGCTATTGTACTTATTGTGTATGCACACTCTTATAGTCTTATTCTGATTCTTCGTTTCCTTCTGATTTTGTATTTATTCCCTCATCGTGGCCTATCCTATTCTCTGCTCTCCCTTTTCTTTTCACCCTTACCTCAATCCCAAGATGACTATTCCACTTACCGTGAAGTCTTTGCAGATATCTATTCCCTCCATCAAATCATCCGCCAGTTCATCCTCGAGGCCTAAGTCTTGAATTTCTTTCTTCATGTTGTCATACTCAATGTTGAAGTCCTCATCCACCTGATAGACGGACGCAAGGAAATGTCATTACGAGGGCCAAGAATTGTATTAATTCTTAGGAAGTACTTTGCCTCACTGCCTAATTAGTAATTTCAGTCTTATTTTCTTGTTGGCTAACTACAATTGAAGCTCAGGTTCACGTTCCTCGATACGTAAGATTAGTAATGAGACGTAATTTTTTAGGAACCACAATTCTTTCTACTTACATAGTTCATTTTCTTCATAACGCACGTGAAGTTACCAATCTTTGCCTTCATCTTCGACACCATTTTCTTCAGAACAGGAGCATCGTACAGGGCTTCACGTTTCTGAAGGAGAAGGAATGTAAACCGTTCGTGATAGAGAAAGAGAGAGAAAAAAAGAAACAGGTAACACGGGATATCAGCGAACACTCTCAAAGGGATATTAATTAGCAAGAGGAAGGACCTGCAAAACACACCTGTCGTTGCGCAAAGGCGAACCGCAGGGGGAACTTCTGACCTTGCTCTTCAGCGTTCAGGATGACGAACACGGGCTGGTTGCCATAATTCTCTTCGCTCTAAAATAATTAAATTGATATATGAATAAATGAGTTAAATGATAAAGAGCAAATATAGAAAAAATAATAAGTAAATGAAAGCAAATAAATAATAGTTGTGTATACTATTCGATACAACAAGATATATATATATATATATATATATATATATATATATATATATATATATATATATATATATACTTATATCCAGATTTCAAATCATATCCATATCTTATTCCAGGGATATCAAACAATCTGCGTAAATATCATCCAACCTCATCCTCCATATCAGAAGCACCATGCATGGGAAGAACCGTTTCCTTCCCGTAGCATTCCTTCATCGCCTTGAACACCTGCTTATACCATCCATAGTAGAGGTCTTCACCAAAGCAGTTTGTCATCACCTGAAAAAAGAAAATCGAATTTTCTCGATCAACTATCTCATTAAAAACTCTCCGATCTAATTTTTTGGGACATATTGACGAAAATAATTTCACACAAAAGTGTTTTTCAAGGTAGGTTATATCATACCTTCGAGTATCCATACTTCGTTTCGAAGCTGCCTCCAAGGACGGCGCAGACAGCGGTCAACAGGACTACGAGACGAAGCATCCTGACGGATATGTAGGATTGAGGATATCTATTTTGTTTCCTCTTTCAGTCATTAAGAGTAAAATAATTACCTATATGATGCGACATAAGTATTTATAAGAAAAGAATGCTACAAATCATACTAGAAAAGAAGCAGTGTTATTACTAATGATAAATACAAAAATGACTAATAATAGTTACGTTGTAACTGATAAAATTAACAATAATGATAGTGAGGATGATCAGTATACCGGACATAAAACTGACGGCACAGTGAAGATAAATAAAAAAAAATGTAGAAATGCTTTTATTCAGAGTCAGACTCCGTAATTGCACCTAATAATCTGGCCTTAATTAAAGCGCCTATTATTTGTATTGCCCATCTTGCTGCCTTTACTGAAACTAGAGCAAACGATTTTACTAGCATTTATTACCTCAGCGGATACTTAGTTAATGGCTTCATTGGTTTCTCGGTATGTCTATAAGGTTACGAAAAAAAGGTGATGAACATTGAAAAGTGGGTAGGTCATGGCCAGAGGGTTAGTTGACTAGAATATGGTAATGAGCAAGATCTGCATATGGATTTAGGAGCCAATAAAATAGATTCCTCGCCGGTGTGATTTTGGTGTAGTGTGCTGGATTTTTTTTTTTTTTTTTTTTTTTTGTGGGGGGGGGGGGGGCAGTAGAAGAGGTCTGTGCTCTCTGAGTGTTTTCGTGTTTTGTTTTTGTTGCTATAAATGAGTGAATCATATGTGATGTTAT